TGAGTCCCCTCTCAGGGTTACCCTGCCGGGGCCATCTTGGAGCATTGACCAGCTTTATGTTGCAATGGCCATTGACTTGTCTATTCTCTTCTAGAGTCTGAGCTGCCATTGAGCCAGCTTGCAGTAAGCTGTTGGTGTTTAACCAACTGACTAAATGAACTCTAAGTCCCAGCCTTCAGTGTCCACTGTGGAGAAAGAACTCTGAAGGTCAGGATGCAGTGATCCACCCTCTGAGCTTTGCTCTGTGGGCTTTGCTGTGTGGCCTAGCCAAGATGAGCAACCTCTGGGAGTCCCCTTCTCTATAAAGTCAAAATGTTACGCAGAGGGATGGGAGCCTGGCCTTTGCCCACCACTCCTGGTTTCTGGTAACCCCGCATTGGTAACCATCCTCATCGGCTGGGGTCAAGAGTGGCACAGACACCCAGCCCACAGGGCTCCCCCGCAGCTGTCACTTTCAAGGCATCACCACATCCACCTGCCAGTCTCCCCCTTTCTGAGACGCCCCTTCCCCCGGCACCCTGAGTTCTGCACAGGCTCTGCATGAGCCTCAGACTCCAGGCAATCTCTGTCACCAGGCTCTCAAGATGATGGAAATCGCCTGCCAATAGCATTTAAAACCAAGTATATTAACATTTCAGACAGGCACATTACACAACTAACCCAATGAGGGATTATGTGCAGACAGGAGAAATGGCTGCTCGAGACCAGCAAATACCAGAGCCCTCCAGCTGCCAGAACAGAAGCTGTTCCACTGGGAGAGGAAAACGCAGGCAGCCCATGTGTCTATAACCCATGCTGTAAAGTCAGGAAAACTGCGCGGAACGTGGCTCAGCCCACACCCAGGTTAGCAGCGTCAGTGGTGGGAATAGCGCCAGTCCAACCCTCTGCAGACCGTGTCCTTGCAGCCGTTGGGGCGCCCAGGTCCCAGAAACTCTGGGTGCCAAGCCCAGAATGGTCTGTCTCCCTGGCTCCTTCAGACAGCTTGGCTCCAGGGGGTAAAGACCGCAAGGCTTTCTGGCCTAGAGCAGCTCAGAGGAGAGGACTTGGGAGCTGGGAGCAGAGTGGCCTGGTGGGTTAGTTTCCTGATTCTAGAATAGTGGCAGGTCCAGGTGCATGCAGGGCCTCTGGCCTGGATGCTGATCCTCCAAATCCTCCTCCACGTACCCACCTCCTCCTCCTCTGCTGGGTCCTCACCTACTGCGCTCCCTCCTCCCCGTGCTGCCTCCTCCCACCCTCAGTATCTCCAGTCTTTCAGCTGCTTCTGAACCTCATCCTACAGGACCCACTGAGCCCCGTCTATACCACCTTCTCACCAGCTCATTGTCCCTATGGGTGCCACCACCACCCAACCCAGCAGCTGGCAGGAAGCCAACGCCCAGTAAGCACAGAGGTCTGATGAGCTCCTCTGAGTGCGGCATCCAGCAAGGTTCCGAAGGGCAGAGCAACCAGGACAGACGCGCCACATACAGGGTCTCCTTCCTGGGAACTCGCCCTGTAGGGAGGAGGCCCCTGGTCCCGCAGGCTCCTGGGCAGGCAGAACCTACACGGGGCCAGCTCAGGGGGCACCTCTGATGCTCATCACAACAGCCCAGAGCCCCAGGGAACCAGCCAGAAGTTTCCACTCCCAAGGCTCTTGCTCACAATGGTAGAGCCAAAGTTGTCTGGGGATACACAAGGAAACAGCACCACGTTTGAGGTGCAAAGGGGAAGAGAGGGAAATGGGTTGTGAGGCAGCAGTTTCAGGCACTGTGGTATTTCTGAGATCGCTGGGATACACCCCAAAACCTCTCCCACTAACAGCTGCCTTTGAAGCCAGCACCAGCAACTCCAGGCGCCACCGAAGGGTGCTGGCGCCCTCTAGTGGATGAAAGGGTCACTGGTCTTAAGGTGCCCCAACCAGATGGGCTGGAGCAACCTGCCCACCCAGAGCTAGTCCAGGGCAAACCCAAGGTGCCCGACTTGCCTTCCAGCCCAGGTTCCTACCCCTGTGCCTGCTTGGCAAGTCCCTCTTCCCACGGTTCCCAGACACAAAGTTCTGTGTCCTCCCTACAGCAGGTGTCAGCAGCAAGGGGTCCTGCCTCAGTCCCATCCCATCTCCAACACCGTCACATCTTCATTCTTGTTTTTCCCCCGGCCACCCCGGGAAAGACCTTCTTAGGGACACAGTGATGAATCAAGCCCAGTCCCTGCCTGCAAGTTCTGGTCCGTACATAAATGTCAAGCCAAGTTCCCAGGACACGCTGCCCCTCCTGTGTCCACACGGAGGTCCAGGGGGCCCTGCTCCCACCCTTGCCTTGGCCAGAACCCACTCCGAGCCTCCCCAGCACAGCTGCCTGCTTCTCGGCCTTAAACTGCATCTTGCCGGGAGAAGACACCCCCAGCCACACCCCGGTGAGGCTCTCCCTCAGCACCCCAATGTTCCGTCTGCTGTACGCTCAATCCGTGTTTACTTACACCCCTTTGCTCCTGTCTGGCCTATTCACCAGCTTGGAGGGAAGCTCTGTGAGGACTGTCGGCGTGTCTATGCCAGCACCACTGCTGTGGTAGGTGCTGACTGAAGGCTGGAAAGACAGGACAGGAGGCCCCAGGCCCAGGGTAGATGCCTGAGGTACAGACGGAGCCGCCCTCCCTCCCAGATGATGCAAGGGTCGGGGATGGAAGACCCAAGGGGGCAGGACTGAGGCCAGCAGCGAGGCCAAGGAGGGTCGGTGGCGCTGAAGGACTGGGTGAGGCAGGGAGGTTGTAAACAGAGGGGCAGAAAGGTTCCTGGAAGATGGACTGCAGAGGGCGAGGGAGAAGAGCCAGCCCTGAGGACGGCAGGGATGAGGCGCTGACTGAGACTGAGGCAGAGGTGGCAGGGCCTGCATGGTCCAGGATGGCTGCTGCAGGCACCTCCTGTTGGCTTCTTTGTTCCAGCAGGACATGGAGAAGAGGGAGACAGCAGCCTGGAGCCCCTTAGAGCCCATCCCTCCCCAGGCCTATCTGACCCTCCCTCCCTCCCTCCCTCCCTCCCTTTCCGCCACTTGGAGGTTCTCTCCTGAGGGCTCCTTTGTGGAAGACAAGGAGAAATCGCCTTGCTAAGAAGCTACAAACACACATGTCCCCTGGGCTGGGCTGTGGCCCTGACTTGTTTCCAGCCTGAGCTGGAAGCCCTTGGTGAAGTTCCAGCGCCACCTCGTGGCCGGAGCTGGACAGCGCGGGGTGGCCACACCCTGCCCTGGCAGAGGAGGGAGGTGGTTCAGGCAAAGGCAACTGGGAAAGTTTCTGACCACTGGGAGGCTGAGGGGACCCGGCAAGCGTCAGGCTCTGACCTAGACAGGACTGCTGCAGGGGCGGCTAGTCTACGCTTGTAGCTTGCATAGTTTGCAGAGAGGGAGCACCTGGAAAGGCTGGGCCAGGGAGTGTGTGGGCAGCAGACGCAGCCAGGGCAGAGCATCCTGCTGAAAGGTTTGTGAGTCACCTGGAAAGGGGCAGCGCCTCAGCTGAACTAACGCTCACAAAGTGTTTACTGTGTGCCAGGCTCGGTAAACGCTGAGTGAATGGTCGTGGCTACATCGAGGCTCCCTTTTAGTGTGGGTGATTAATCAGGAGACAGGAGGCTGGCTAGTCAGCAAGGAGCTGGGATTTGAACCCAGGGACCCTCTGCCAGCTTCTGAGCGCTGAATCACAAGGCTCTAAGCACCCTGAGGTAGTTGAGTCACAAAAACAGCTAACCCAGAGGCCCCAGACTCTCACACTTCCCCCAAAGCGTTCAAAACCAGCTGGCTGGCAGCTGAGCACCCAGTACCCAGGACAGCCAGGGAGTGGACTCGCCTGTGATTAAGGGTGTCACGCCCTATTTCCATCAGTCCGAGGCCCAGGCCTGTGATGGGCCCACCTGCAGCACTGGGGCAGCCCTCCAGCCACGCCTGAGGCGCTTCCTCCCAGTTGGGCCATTTTAACTCCTAAGATCAAGAGTGGTCCTGGGAGGCCGACTTGGTCTTTGGGGGTAACCATAGAGCCCCATCCCTCTCCTTCCTCCCTCTTCCCTCATCAGTATCCCACCCCAAATGTGGAGACCACGGGGACTTACCGTACCCAAATTACCCTGGGGAAGAAACTCAAGGAGGAGGAAACCCAGTTCCATTTGCTAAGAAGAGCCGAGAGTGGGTCTTTGAGCCCCAGGTTGAAGCCTTCCCCAGTCTTCCAGCCCCCGTGTCCCCGCTGTCAAATGGGGCTCAGCGAGCTGTGCCTGTGAAGCTGTTCCTCAGCGCTGGCAAGGAGTTCAGCCTCCGTAAGTATTCCTGTGTTCTCCCCCTAAAGAAACAAATTGCTCAGCTGCAGACTCGGATGGCTTTCTCTTTTCCATTTTTAAATAAAAACGTGCGTGTAGTCATTGCTCTCTTTTTTGGATAACACCAAAACTGCAAACCCAATGATTCAATGACCCCGACCCTTGGCCTCTGAACCCGGGGACGGTGGAGGGGGGTTGCCATCTAAATGACCTCTCATCATTAAGCCCATTGCCCTGAGTAGAAGACAGGTCCAGTGCTGACAGGTCTTCCAAGACTTTTCACAAAACCTAGAATTCACTAGCATTTCAATTCAAAATTCAATTCAATTAAAAAAAAAAAAACAATTCACTAGAATTTTAGATTTTAGAAAATCTTCTGACTTTTTAAACATCGACTCCATTTCTAATGACTCCTGTTCCTACAATCTGGGTCTCGCCCTGTCCACCAGGCCCACCTAAAGATGAACGCCTTCATGAGCTCCCCTCAGTGGCCATCCAGATCTCCCACAGTGGTTTCCATAGTGGCCAAGACCAGCTACACAGTGTCACCAGGTCCCTGTCCTTGGAGAAGGGCCCGTGACCCAGGAGACAGTGCTCCAGGGGGTGCCATGCTCAATGCTCGGACCCTCTCCCCTGCCTCCCTCTGGACTCCGTCCATGTTGGTGATTGGTAACAATTACACTACCTGAATATTTACCACCCTGAATTCTAATCTCCCTGGCAACCGCTGTGGATCTTTCTCCCTGGCAATCAGCAAAAGGGAAAGAGTAATGTTTACAGAGGGGTCCCCATCACCATCGTTGACCCAGGAATTAGAAACGCCAGGTTCTCTCCAGTTGTTCCGCAGCCAGGCACCACGACGTGTGGGTAAGTCTTCCAAATTCGTCTTTGGAAGCACTAGCACTTGACGTGACTTTGCATCTAGTTCGTGGAACAGTCATGAGGACTATCTTAGTTTGGATTCCCCTAACTGCTCAGGAGACAAAAATTTGGATTCGAGTCATTTTTGTGAGTGTGGATGCTGACAAGCCCCGGGAAGGGACCAGCAAAGGAAGATATGGACAGGGGCAGGCCAAGGGGAGGGTGTGAACGAGAAGCCACTGTTATGGCCACCCAGGACTGAATCCCACGGGGGACTCTTCAGAATTTTCCACTGAGGAGCAAAGAAGCCAGGCTGTTTATTTCCTAGTTTCTAGCACTGTCCCCCACTGATGGAGGGTCTCTCTGGGGTGATAGCTCCCTGATAGTTCCAACATACAGGTGGCCCCAAGGTGTTCCAGGGGATATAGGTAGGTGCTAATAATCTACAGCCAGAACTTTGACTCAAGATAACCCAGTAACGTTACAGAAGCCAGTCTTTACATTTATACTAAGTTATACTTTCAAAGCACCCCTTAGTGACTCCGTTGGGATTCACAATACTCCTGTGATTGATTGGGGGAGGGGGGAGCACTTGGCTTATTATTTGTCCTAATTTACAAATGGGAGACATCCAGGATTTGCCCAAAGTGGCATAACCTGTGACTAGCTCTAATTTGTAGATTTGATGAGCTTCCTGTCAGTAAAGACCTTGGAGGGGTTCCGATCACTAGCAAAGCCTTTCACCTTTTAATTTGTGATTTTCAAGGTGGGTTTCAATTCAGCCTCTCAGGAATCCGCTGGGTGTTGCTTCCTGGCGCTGTGTGCTCGTTGGCCCGCTCCGCTCCAGCAACACCATATTTGGTGTCCACCACGTTCTGACTCCTCGGTGTCGTGAGACCCAAATGCCCTTTCTGACAATTGCTCTTTCAGTCTCAACATTTCACCTCTATTTGTGAAAAACTATTTCTGTGCACTGACAAGATTTTATTGTTCATAAAACTGAATTACAAGAGCAACCGTGGACATACCGTTGAAGCTGCCCTCCCCTGGTTCAACAGATTAGAGCAGCACAATGAATTTTCATCAAGAATGACTTCAATGCAAGTTGTTGCCAATAAAATTTGTTTCATCCTGATCAAAGACAACGGCTGTGTTCCATGTTAGACATACTTTCCAAATTAGTTCGCCTGCTTCATGCCTGCAGTGAGAGGGGACTTCTGTGGGGAAAAGCTAATGAGGCTGGAAAGCTGCAATACACATTCTGTAAAAATTCCCCATCCAGAGGGGGAAACAGAAGTCGTGTGAAAAATAACTTGCAGTTTAGAGTCTGAACTGCAGAGCTGGAAAGGACTCATTCCATGCCTTAGAGGGGAGGTGGTACCTCTTAACACCAAACAGAGGGATCAAGACCCTGCAGGGTGGGACGCTGGGGTGAACTGCCACCCCCTCCTTCCCTGTAATAGCAAATTTGCCAACCCAATGGACACCATGGAAGACTTCAGAGCCAGTCCAACCAAAGCTCATCAGCTCAGGAGCAGAGTTGTCCTCCTAGAGTTCAGGGACAACCTCGCAATGATCTCAGCAAAGGAGCTGACCTCAAGCCCATCAAGAGTCCTGGAGGAGATGGGCTTTGTGGGATTCTGAGAAGCTGAGATTACTTGGGGAACATCTGAGTGGTTTCTCTGAAGTTTCCCCGTAAGTGCAAAGGTGGGTTCAAGAAGTAGCAGTTAGATGTATATAAACATTTCCTTATAAATGCATTTGAAGATGGTTAAAGTTCCCAGAAGATAGATACTGAATGTGTGTGTGCGTGTGTGTGTGTTATTATAAAGGAGTTTCTTTCTCAAGTGCAACAGGACCCTCCCTATCACATCACCAGCAACTGATCTTATAATCCGTGGCCATATGCCTCTTCTGAGTCAAGGAGGCACTATTAATAATTATGAAGGGACTGTTCGTAAATGAAGGCAAATGGAGGTCTAGATATTGGATCAGCCCATCAACATTCCAGGACCCAGGGAACAGTTTATCTCATCTGCTCTTAGGGATTTTCAGTAGGTGTCTGAGGGTGTGTCTGTTATTTTCCTGCTAATTTTCAACTGACCTGCACTACGAAGGTGGCAAGATATTTCCCCAGGAGTTGACCAGATTCACTTATTTATTCTAATCACTCCATGTCATAAGTACTAGCACCGAGCCAACAGTGGCCAAGTCTCGTTTGTTTGACACATACTTTCCTTGATATGGACTTGGCAATGAGCCAACACCTAAGGCTGACCCAGATGCTCACTACTGGTTAAATATCACCAGTGTCCACATCAAAGACTTGCTTCAAGACTTCCTGCCTCCCTGCTTAACTCAGATGAGCAAGGTCAACCTTCTGCCAGTGATGGATTGCCTCCTGTCAGCTGAGACGGGTACCAGGCCCTGTCATACCTTCTTCCAGGCCAGAGACAGGAACTTGCAGCTGTCAAGACAGAAATGGCACACAGGCACAGATTACTTGGCCCACATAGCTGTACCGACAGGTCAAAACAGGTGCTTTTACATAAAAAATACAAATTTCACTCAAAATTGAATTTTTATTTTAAATCAGAGAATCCAGCTCCCCCCATGACTGTTGGGTAAAGGGTGGGAGGCAAAAAGAGCTGGGAAGGGTGGAGTCTTGAAGACACTAACAGCAGACGAGATGCTGTGGGCATGAAAGAATTGAAAACAGCATCTCTACAGGTGACCAGGCCCTGCTGTGGACACCACAAGTGCTCTGGACAATTAAGGAAACACCTCTGGTTTGTCAAGGAAGCACATTAGAACTTCACTAGGTTGGGGCCTCCCTGGTGGCGCAAGGGGTTGAGACACAGCACTATGAAGGTATCTGCAGCCACTGCAGCACGAGTACGATCCCCGGCCAGGGGGCTGACCCACATGGCGCAGCAGACCTCACCTGTCTTACCTGCTGCTGCCCTCAGCAGTGTATTTCAGTCGGTCTGCCTGTTCTGCCCCTCACTCTGTCGCTGGTGAATCCACTCACCCACCCCCTGCATCTCTGGCCTGTACCCCAGCTCTTTTTTATATGCATAAATACATCTTTAAAAAAAAAAAAAACTTCACTAGGTTGTATGCAAGGTATTCAAAAGGGAATGTGTCTAAAAGCCATGAATAGAGGCCACTCAGAGATTAGCCTTCAAAATCAGTGTCTACTTGAGGACATAGATTAGTGGCTACAAATTAATTTGACTGCAAAATTAATATGGACCTAGAGTGAGTGAGTGGTCCTCGGAGTTAGAGCTTTGCTATGTAAACAGAAGGTCTTGTTTCTCTGCAGCAAGAGAGCCGCTAGTGCAAAGGAAAGACTAAATGCACCCAGGGGCGAGGCGAATATCAGTCGTGGCAACAACGTCCCAGATGAACTCCGAAGGTTGAAGTATAAGTTTCAGAGACAGGGGCTGGAGAGAGCTGGGGGGCCATAGGTGTCAGTGGGTTCACAGCCATGCTGAGCCCCCAAAGGGCATGGATAGATGCCAGGCAAGTATTTACCATCTTTTCCAGAGCACACTCAAGAGCAAGCCGCACTTGAGCATTCCAGAGGAGTCACGGAAAACAGTGATCTGATAGAAAACTCATCCTACTGGTTCAAAAAGTAAAATCTTTTTTGAGCAACTGTCATGAACTAGAGGGAAATGCCTAACACTCCAGGGCATGCTGTCATACGCTCAAATAGAAAAAATATGACAGCGGAATCCGGTTTAAAGGAATCTTTTACAGAAATCCACTGAGCATCTCTGTGATGTATTTACTAAGGAGAGCAACAGCTAAAGTGGGGACATCTGTATTTCCACAGGCTTCATGAGATTTGAAGAGTTCTCTGTGTTTCATAAAAAGCAGGCACTACAGGTTCATGATTTCTGTTAGATTTCTTAGAAGCATTTTAACATAGTTGAGTATAGTTTAATATAGTTCTACATAGTCAAAAAGGAAGAAATGTTTGTGTAGTGGTTACATAGGAAATTTTCAACTTCAAATGTAAGACATCCAGAATATATTCTTTTTTTTTTTTTTGGTTTATTGAAACAAAATTATACTTCTGTGCTTCTTACAATACATTAACAGGCATAAAAATCAATCAACATTTCCCAGTAAGTGTCGCTCGCGAAATCACAGTTATTTTACAGTACCTTGTGGTCATTCCCTTTACAACAATCTAAGGTTTCTTTGTACAATGGGCAAACAGTCTGACACCTTCCGTTGCGGCATTTCAGAGCTGTAGTCATTTAGAAATAAAAAGTGTCTTTCCAATGCAATCATTAGTTTGTATTAAACTAAAATGCCAGGTGTCAAGTCTCAAGTTTCTAAAAAGAGTGTTTTAAAAAATAGATTTACATCCAAATTAAGTCTTATAAACTTCAGTGATAGGTCCTATCAGTTCTAAATACTAGAACTATTTGCGGATAAAAATCTGCATTCAATTGTGCAATATTTTCTTCTAAATCTGAATTTAAATCTCAGTGATTAACTTCAATTAATCCTTTTGTTAATTTTACTGCTTTCAGTAAAAAAAGACCAGGATTAGTGATGGCTAATCTCTCCAAAGGAGAGTTCTGACCACCTCCTGTGCTTATTGTTTCTAGAAGAAATATACATCCATTAAATGCAACATCTGATTATATAAAATGCATGCAGATTCCTCCTCAGTACAAAACGCATGCCAGTCCCACCTCAGTACCCTCCACGAGCTATTGTTTTGTCTTCTATAAGAACTACCTTCCATAGTGCTTCCCAAAATGCTTTGCATGAGATACTGGTGAGAGGTTCATAGATGTCCCTGTGTCCTGGAAAGGTCCTGGGGTCCCATCGATTGGGAAATGCTGAGTTCAATGGACCCTGAGCCCTTGCTGCACTCAAGTGCATTCTGAGTTTCTAGGAAAGAAGCTCCATGTGTAAATGTATTTTACTAGTGATACTTGTTCTACTGAACACCACGAACATCTCACAATGTACTCATACAC